TCCAGAGTTTAGCATAAAGCTTTTAATCAGAAACTTGATAAAACAATGCAGCATTGTCTGAATCAGAAAAGTAGTTTTTGCTCTTAAAATTATTTTTGTATCTTGTGAGAGGTGAATTGATGATTCTGCCCTAGTCTTAGATCCCACCCTTGCCTAGTACTTCCCTACCAAGACCAGAAATAACCACATGAAGAACATTTTATATCCATGCCAGTGGATTAACTAGCACAGAAATTAACATCCCCATTTTACTAATGAAGACACCAAGACACAAAGAAATGTAAATAACTCGTTCAAGGACATATAATGGGTAAAAGGCAGGACTGGTTAGGATCACCTTTATGAGCAGCAAGAAAGAAGGGCTCTGGGAAATGATGTCTACTACTAAGAAAAATATATATTACACACTTGTTAGAAATCAAAACTTCAAAAGCAAAAAGATCTTTCAAAATGCCTGTAATTACGTGGGAGAGTGAAAAGTCTGGCTTAAAACTCAGTATTCAAAAAACTAAGATCGTGGTATCCAGTCCCATCACTTCATGGCAAATAGATGGGGAAAAAATGGAAACAGTGACAGACTTTACTTTCCTGGGCTCCAAAATCACTGCAGATGCTGACTGCAGCCATGGAATAAAAAGACACTTGCCCCTTGGAGGGAAAGCTATGACAAGCCTAAGCAGCATATTAAAAAGCAGAGACATCACTTTGCCGACAAAGGTCCAGCTCGTCAAAGTTATGGTTTTTCCAGTAGTCATACACAGATGTGAGAGTTGGACTATAAAGAAGGCTGAGCACAGAAGAACTGATAACTTTTGAACTGTGATGCTGGAGAAGACTCTCGAGAGTTCCTTGGACAACCACCAGTCAATCCTAAAGGAAATCAACCCTGAATATTGATTGGAAGGACTGATGCTGAAGCTGAAGCTCCAATACTCTGACCACCTGATGTGAAGAGCTGACTCATTGGAAAAGACCATGATGCTGGGGAAGATTGAGGAGAAGGGGATGACAGAGGATGAGATGGTTGGATGGCATCACTGATTCAATGGACATTAGTTCGAACAAACTCCAGGAGATGATGAAGGACAGACGTGCTGCTGCCCATGGGGTCACAAAGAATTGGACATGACTTAGCAACTGAACAACAATTCCACCTTTCAGAGAAAAACACGTGTAGCACGTTGAAGTAACTCCTTCCAGATAAAACAATCTTTGCTTCACATTTTACCAAGAAAGTAGAAGCAGTAAGAAGAAAACGTCTACATCCTTCCCCACATATGTGCCCACATGCTCTGCCCTCCCTGCTACAAAGGATGAACTGTCTGTTCCCAACACTGCAGCCTCCATTCTGCACTCCACCCAACTTCCTTTCACCTGCTGGAAGATTCACTCTGCAATTTGCTTCCTATCTATTGTCCCCCACATGGCAGGTCACTTCTATCAGGGAAACAAACTACTGTAATCTCTCCCATCTGGAAAAAACCAAATAAAGAACAAACCTGTGTCCCCTATATATCCTTCTTCCATTCTGGCCCCATTTCTCTGCTCCCCTTTATAGCACACCATCTTTAAAGAGTTATTTAGACTCTGGCTCCTACTATCTCTTGAACACATTTTATATAAATTCATACTCCTCTACAACATTATTTTTAATGACTACCTAAGATTTCATTGTATAGGCTATTACTTATTTAACCAACCCAGCATTGTCTAATATTTAGATTTCCATTTTTTCCCACCCTTATAACTTCTAGGCTAGGTTTATTTGAAGGTTTAAGTCTGATTTCAATATGTAGCCACCAGCTACATGCAGCTATTGGGCATTTAACATGTGGTTAGTTAGACTGAGATATTCTGTAAAAGTAAGATACACATCAGATTGTTGAGGCTTAGAACCCAGAAAAGAAATGTAAATATCTTATTAATAATTTATTATGTATTAAATGTTAATATTTGGGGTATATTGGGTTAAATAACATGTTAAAATTAATTTCACATGTCTATTTTTTCCTACTAGCAGATTTAAAATTACATATGTGGCTCGTATTTGCATCTCATTATATTCCTGTTGGATAGCACTAGTCTAGACTTTTAAAAAATGTTTTCATAGGAGGATAATTGCTCTACAATAGAGTGGACACTGAAATTCTATTAATTATTCATTCTTTGAGCTAACCAGCCCTTCTTCCAGAAATCAACACAATCCAAGGCTCCCATCCTTTCATTTACAGTCTTAATTTGTTTGACTTGATGCTTCTTTTCAAATAACTTAGGGGAATAAGAATTTCTATGTTGTTATATATAAATTAACCTTTGCATTTTATGTGCCTATTCTGATATTGCTTGTTTTCTATTGGCGCTTCTAATCTACAGTCTCGTGGTCCTTTCTGAAAGAGGTAGGTCCTGATGTATTGATCATGCAAGAGGTAGGTGGGTAGGTGAAACTTAGAATGTGGGCCTAGGCCGGCAAATGGGGTAACCCTTACATTTCTCATTTGTGAAAACAGTCTGTTATCAGAGACTTTTATATGTGCCTCCTGCCCATACCAAAGTTAAAGAAATAGGCTTCTCTTTAAAGGAGACAGAGCTGAGTGAGAATAAGTTAAAATTTACAGGCTGACCTATGTGGCTCATGTTATGTATTTACCCACTTTCAGTTTCCATTTCCTTGTCTCCTTAGAGTATTAAAACAAGGTTGTAAAGATAAAATGATAGCTATAAATATACTGATACATTTTCAAATATATATTGATGTATATCCAGATGTATATATAGTTATGTATCTGGCATATATAAAATGGTATTTATATTATCTATAGATATAGATAGATAAATTGATATCTATTTATTAGATACAGATATCAATAAATATCTGTTCATATGTCTCATAGATATATAAAGTTCTCAGTCCACAGATTCTTCACAAATGCTAGCCAATCACACACACATGCACAGACTCCTAATCACTCGCCTTTTTTCACACTTAAAATAAGAACCAGCTGATTTAAATTATAATCCTCCGCCAGTGCTCACGTGTGAAGAATTGGTACTTTCAGACCCTGGGAAGCCTCCTCGCCGGCTGGGAGACAGACTCAGCAGTGTGAGGCTTTCCCAGGCACTCGGTTTGCATCAAGCAGATGCCCACAAACCTTTCATTCATAGAGTGCCCAAGCCTGGGCTGGGGCAGCAGCGCAGACGGCAGATAACCGGGTCTTTCATGCACTTAGACACTGAATAGAATTTCTGGGGGTTTTCCCTCTCTTTGGGAAGGCTGCTCTTGACTTTGCGGCAATAAACAAATTTTGTAAATGTGGACATCAATTTAGAAAATATATGCATGGTACCCAGGTTTAATCAATGGATACCAAAATTGGCCTCACTAACTCTATAGTCTAGAAATTATGCTACTCATGAGGCATCCAGGCACAGCAGCTAGGACAGCTGATTTTCTCAGACTGGCACCCCCATTTCAAACACACTATCTCAGATCCGAGTAGCGGCTCCCAGAGAGGAAGTGGAGGTTGGAGTGGAGGGCCATCTGACTAAAGGGGTCAGTATATGATAACACACGGAAACTACATTTTTGGTGGTGAGCATGCAGGGCGTACAGAAATAGAAATACAATGTTGTACACATGAAACTCATATAAAGTTATAAACCAATGTTACAAACCACTGTTACCTCAATAAAAAAATAAATGTAAACACACACACACAAATACTTGGTCCTGTCAGATCCCCTATTTCAAATATTCTGTGAGGCTGTGTGTGTGTCAGGCTGTGCCCTGGTTTGGGTCTTTGAAAATACGGTCACCAGTCAGAGACAGAGGAAAAAGTAGGACATCCTTTTCTTCTCGAACTTAAAAGAAAATTATTTATTACAAAAACAACATCCTAGCAAGCAACATGGCCAGAAATTTTACTAAAAGAAAAATTCACCCCTAAACCAAACATACCAAGAAATCAAAATGTTTTATTTTTTGGATGTGCCCTTTGCCATCCCTAATTTGTGAAGTATTTGTGATCAAGCATTTAAAAAAAAAAACAAACCACCAGGCAATGCCAAGGCTATGTGAGCTCCCAGACCTGCCCTCTCCCACCCTTTCGCCTGGCTCTTCTACCAGACACATAGATGCAAACCATGGGACGCCATCCCCTCCTCCCCAGCCCACCTGCAGATGGTCTAAGTGAACACCCCCAATTCCCCATCAATCAATGTTTCAAAACATCACCTACTGCGTGCTCAGTGCTCTTCTAGACACAAAGGGGTTGGGGAGGAGGGGTGTAGGAAAGAAATAGAGGGCCTGGTCCTAACTCTCCAGGGGCATCTCCATGGCAACGGGAAGGGGGTGGTGGAGGGGGTGGAAAAGGGCACAGTTTCAGTGAGAGGCCAGGGCCCAACTGGGGTTCGTGCCCTGCTCCGTGTGTTCAGGATGCAGCTGCCTTCTTTGTCCTTTGTGAATGAAGCCACCGATTGTAGTTTCTGGGGCAGTTTCCCAAAAGTGTGTCATGAGAAAGAGGCAAGATGTTAATGTGCTGAGCAGAAAAAAACAATTCCATGGCCAGATGAGTTGGGACACGAGGGTTAAGGAAAAACAAACAGGTCTCTTTCTGCAAGAGATCTTAGAGCATTTTCTCTCCTGAGGGGCAGCGTGCATCTCAACCAGGGCACTGATGCTTGCTGCATTTCTCAAGTGTGTGTGGGCCCAGAGGAGAACACCTCCAGAAAGCAGCATCAATGATTCACTTTGGGAAATGCAGCTGCAGAATATTCACTCGCATGCCAGCTAAAAACCATATACTAGATTCTCCCAGGTGTGTCTAGGCCAGAGGAAGCCATTCTCTTGCCTTCTTTCCCATGCCTGGGAAATAGAGGAATTGGAGGGAAATAGATGTTGGGCCAGAGGACACCTATGCAGAGAGGCCCAGAGAGGACTGAGAAGGAAAAGGATCCAATAAAAGATAACATTTATGGAGCACTTTCTCTTAGGAGTTACTTACCACTTTTTCAAAGGAGTTACTGGGTCCCAGCTACTGCTATAACCCAGACCAACTGTAGTCCCCAAACAGAAGGTTCCATGGCCGCCTGTCTGAGGTGCCGTAGAAACCTCAGCCTTTCCCCCCATTGCCTTGTCTTTCTGAATATCCTTTTCACAGTGTCACTGGGGGCCTGGGGACTGAGGTCACGGAAGACTCTGTGGCTCACCCTTCTCAGATGACTTGGGCTGTTCCAGGTCCTTTCCCTTCCCTCCAAGATTCCTCCTGTCTCCCGAGGTCACTCCATTCTTCTTCTCTCTAGTCCAATGGTTCCCAACCTTGGCTGCACATTAGAAACAGCTGAAGTTTTTTAAAAGGTCCCAGTGGCCAAACTTCAGCCCAGACAAATGAAGTCAGAATCTCTGGGGGGTAAGACTCAGGCATCAGTAATTTTAACAGCTCCTCGGGTGATTCCAATTTGCAATCAATGTTAAGAATTGCTGACAAAGTCCAAGAACAGAATTCTTTAAGCAAGCCTGTCTCTCAGGAAGCAGATTCCTTTTCATCTGGAAGCCAGCCCATCCTTTATTTGGAGTCCCAAATGTTCTCTCCTGGGTACCCAAATCCTAATCTACTGGTGTCTCTCAGTTATGACTGAAGAATTTTCTGTAACCATCATGTTCTCTGCTCTGGGGCTCCAACTTTGCTTCTGTTCCTCTGACATCTCTGTAGTTCAATCTGTATGTTAGGGGGCATCATTAGGCAGGCAGAGTGCACCGTCTGCTTCTAAGAGCTTTGCTGCTCAATGATTCTTGCCAATTCCCAAGTTCTATTACTAATCCCAATTTCACCATCTTGGTGCCATTAAGCCACATTCTTGCTAGGGGTGACACCCCCAGAAACTCATCTCCACCATTTCTCTTCTCAGAGCAGCCTAAGTGCAGAACATCAGCTCCCCTGTAAGATTTTAGTCTGTGGTTAGAAGGCTGCAGTAGGCTGTGCCCTGAAATTGGGGGAAATGAATAGAAAATGTCACCTGTCCTAAAATGGGAAGAAATGGAATCAATATAAAACAGATAAGACAACCTTTCTGATCTCATCTAAATAACCTACTTTAAAAGATGGATTTCTAAGGTCACTGCAAATGAGAGTCAACTAGAATTAAAAAAGCATATGATTGAAGTGTAACATGAGGTCTGGGGTGGATTTAACGCAAAAAAAAAAAGTCTAAAACAGTTCTCTTTAAATGGAGAAGTGGAGTGAAGTGATAGTCACTCGGTCGTGTCCAACTCTTTGCAACCCCTTAGACTATACAGTCCATGGAATTCTCTAGGCCAGAATACTGGAGTGGGTAGCCTATCCCTTCTCCAGCAGATCTTCCTGACCCAGGAATCGAACCAGGGTCTCCTCCATTGCAGGCAGATTCCTTACCACCTGAGCTACCAGGGAAGCCCTTAAATGGAGACGACAAGACAATATGGGGTATGTATGCCTGTGTGTTCAGTCACTTCAGTTGTGTCTGACTCTTTGCGAACCCGTGGACTGTAGCCCGCCAGGCTCCTCTATCCACGGGGATCCTCCAGGCAAGAATACTGGAGTGGGTTGCCATGCCCTCCTCCAGGGGACCTTCCCAACCCAGGGATTGATCCCAGGTCTCCCACATTGCAGGCGGGTTCTTTACCATCTGAGCTACCGGCGAAGCCCAAATCAACTCTACTTCAATTGAAAAATACAGTATAGTATTTGGTCATCAAAGGGAATAAAGTTCTGATATATGCTATAACATGGATGAACCTTAAAAACATCATAGCGAAAGGAGCCAGTCACCAAAAAAATATATATATATATAATATAATTTACACAGTATGAAATATCCAGAATGGAAATCTACAGAGACAGAAACAGCATCAGTGGTTGCCAGGACTGAGAGAGGAAGACTCTGGTGAGAAAGGGGGATGATAGCTAAGGCATATGGGTCTTTGTGTTGGGGTGACAAAAATGTTCTAAAATTGACTGTGACGGTGGCTGCACGTATCTGTAAATATACTAACAACCATTGAGTTGTACATTTTAAATGGGTGAATGTGTATGGTACATACACTGTATCTCAACTCTTTAAAATAAAAGAAGAAGAACATGTTGATTAACAGTTCTTGTGAGTCTCCTCACTGGGATTTTTTTCCCCCCACTGGTCACTGTTTTGTTTCCTGAAATTACTCTTCTAGGTACTAGAAAGAAAATCCAAAGGAAGAGGTTCACAGATCTGACAGCTCACAACTCAGTTCATGATAGGAAAAGGAGTTGTGAACAGAGAAATTCTGATCCCTACCTCATACCTCTCTGCAGTTCCCATAACCCTGAGTGAGTGAGTGAAAGTTGCTCAGTCGTGTCTGACTCTTTTCAACCCCATGGACTATATGGTCCATGGAATTCTCTAGACCAGAATATTGAGTGGGTAGCCTTTCCCTTCTCCAGGGGATCTTCCCAACCCAGGGATCAAACCTAGGTCTCCTGCATTGCAGGCAGATTCTTTACCAGCTGAGCCACAAGGAAGCCCATAACCCTAATGACAGATAATTCACAATCAGAAGAGACTCAGAAAATTCCAGCAAAGCTGATAATCTGGGTTTTTGAAATATCCACCCAATGTACATAAGAATATTTAGAATCATAGAATTTCAGACCTGGAAGTTCTCATAGAATTCAAGGTTTAATTCAACCCTTTCATTGTATAGGCAATTCGATCAACTCCCTCCCCACAGGATATGGAGCAGAAACTTCCTCCGTCTTCTCATCCCTAAAGCTGCCCACAGAATGCCCGTTGTCCACCTCCTCCCAGAGTCCTTTTCTTTGTCTTACTCTCTCCTCTCCTCTCCCCCTAAATGCCTCCTCCTAGTTTAGAAAGTTTGAAATTGCCTTCCTATGTGGAAATTGAATTTGTCATAGCCTACATTCTCCTAGTTCTGTAGCTTATAGGGAAAAAAAAAAAAAACGCTCAGTCCTCCAAGCTCTGGTACTGAATATTTAAAGAAAGGCCTGTGGAATTTGGGAAAATATGTTATTTTTTCTCTCAAGGGCCTGGCTCTTGCAATTCAGTGTATGATTTGCCTAAGTACGATTGTTGCAACAGGCATTAAGAGTCTATTTTGGCCATTAAATCCTCAACTTTGTCTCCTTATTTCTCTGTGCTTTCCAACTATAAAATCCTGACCCTCCCTGAGGGAATATGCCTCTGGTTGAATACCTGGAAATGTACCAGATGTACCCAAAAAAAGTACTTAAAAATGTACCCCCCCCCAAAGAAAGCATAGTATCATTTATACATCTAAAAACAACACACAAAATATATATATATGTATGTATAACAGAATCACTTTGCTATATAGCAGAAATTAACACAGCATTGTAAATCAACTACACTTGAATAAGGTAAACATTTTAAAACAAGTGAAAAATAGCTCATAATTAATGTTTTGACTCAGATGTTTTATGAGTCTATGACTTTACCCCAGGCCTTGGTCTTCAGGGCTCCTTCCATGGCAGCGGACTGACCTCACCACCATCAGTTCCTCAGTCTTCCCATAAATTCCCAGGGGGCACCTCCTCCCTCCCTCCCCTTTCTTTTTCTCCACACGGAAGGATGATGGTCTTCTAAAACCATCTCTCATTGGGTTGTCAGAGGATGGTCACGTGGCCCAGAGCCCTGCATCGTAGTCTAAAACAAGTCTATCTGAAAGTCGCTCAGTTGTGTCTGACTCTTTGTGACCCCATAGCTAGTCCATGGAATTCTCCAGGCTAGAATACTGGAATGGGGAGCCTTTGCCTTCTCCAGGGGATCTTCCCAACCCAGGGATCCAACCCAGGCCTCCTGCATTGCTGGTAGATTCTTTACAAGCTGAGCCACGAGGAAAGCCCATAAACAAAAAACAAGTCTATAAATGCTTTGAAATGACTTGTTTTTGTCTCGAAGATTCATGCATATACTCCATTCTCCTCCAAAACTGATTACTACTTATTTTAATTATTACAAATAAATTTTAAATGACATATCAAAACACTTATCTTATCCTCTTAATCTTCAAATAACATTGACCCTCCAGTATAAAGCACTGCTTTGGTTCTGTGACTTTCTGATACACCCTGATACATTGCTGAGGGCCCCCAGTGATGGACACCAATTTCGAAAATGGGGAGACGATTTATCAATACTAAATCTGTGGTGCCACCATGTATTTCAAGCCACAGTAGCACTGAGCATATCAGGGAGGTGAAACAACATCTGTGAAATGAATTAATTTAGAAGAGAAAATAAAGAACCAGCCACTCTGAGCAGGGCTGAAGACCTATTCGGAAAGTGGCAAGGAGTAAAAATTGTTTTGCTGGTTGTTCGGAATCAACACTAGCTTTTCAGCATTGACTGCAGGCATATATAATATCTGCATCTTTGTAGCATATAATGGGACAATATTTGGGGGTTAGTAAAGTAATGCTCAAAATTCTCCAAGCCAGGCTTCAGCAATACATGAACCGTGAACTTCCAGATGTTCAAGCTGGTCTTAGAAAAGGCAGAGGAACCAGAGATCAAATTGCCAACATTTACTGGATCATCAAAAAAGCAAGAGAGTTCCAGAAAAACATCTATTTCTGCTTTATTGACTATGCCAAAGCCTTCGACTGTGTGGATCACAATAAACTGTGGAAAATTCTGAAAGAGATGGGAATACCAGACCACCTGACCTGCCTCTTGAGAAACCTGTATGCAGGTCAGGAAGAACTGGACATGGAACAACAGACTGGTTCCAAATAGGAAAAGGAGTACGTCAAGGCTGTATATTGTCACCCTGCTTATCTAGCTTATATGCAGAGTACATCATGAGAAACGCTGGGCTGGAAGAAGCACAAGCTGGAATCAAGATTGCTGGGAGAAATATCAATAACCTCAGATATGCAGATGACACCACCCTTATGGCAGAAAGTGAAGAGGAACTAAAAAGCCTCTTGATGAAAGTGAGAGAGAAGAGTGAAAAGGCTGGCTTAAAGCTCAACATTCAGAAAACTAAAATCATGGCATCTGGTCCCATCACCTCATGGGAAATAGATGAGGAGACAGTGGAAACAGTGTCAGACTTTATTTTTTTGGGCTCCAAAA